CACACACACACACACACACACACACACACACACAACATCTGCAGATATCATGATGACCCATGAGATCAATTAAACCCTGGTTTGTGTCTGGCAGGCGACACGGCGTTCATCGTGCTGAGGAAGCAGAAGCTGCTCTTCCTGCACTGGTACCACCACATCACCGTGCTGCTGTACTCCTGGTACTCCTACAAAGACATGGTGGCCGGCGGTGGCTGGTTCATGACCATGAACTACACCGTGCACGCGCTCATGTACAGCTACTACGCGGCGCGCGCCGCCGGCCTGTGCGTGCCGCGGCCGTTCGCCGTGCTCATCACCAGCGCTCAGATCGGTCAGATGGCGATGGGGCTGACGGTGAGCGCGCTGGTGTACCGCTGGATGCAGCACGGAGACTGCCCCTCCCGCCTCGACAACATCACCTGGGCCGCCATCATGTACCTCAGCTACCTGCTGCTCTTCTCCAACTTCTTCTACCAGACGTACCTGCGCCGCCGCGGGGACGCCAAGACACATAAGGCTGAGTAGAGACCAGGGGCATTGTGGGAGATCTGACTGTGTGTCATGTCTCTGAACTGAAGCTGCTAACATTTAAACATCTTTAACGTGACATTTTATATTTCTGAGGGGAACTGGAGCCATCGTTTGTTTGGCTGACCTCAGGAGTCATTTGAATAACAAAGATCAACTCCACATCCAACATCTGATGAATCAAATCATCAGACAAAAACACTTTGACACATAACCAAACTTCAGGCGTAAAATAAAACCTAAAATATTTATTTGTAAATCTGCAGGAAACATCTGTAACAGTGTCGAATGATGTCACTTCAGATTTTTTAAAGTTTGACGGACACACAAAGGTCACAGCATCGTGAAGTTAATCAGACTAAATGATGAATGAGTCAGTTTTATCTCCTCATAATTTCCAGCGACTGATTTTAGTTCACACACACATTTGTTTTAAACACGCCTTCATCACTGGGCCCGACGACACATGACGTCATCCTGACCGACGACCTGCTGGAATTTAGTCAAAAGATTTGTTGACGCTCACTTCGATGACTCGTCACCCGTCACACCCAGCAGGCTGATGAAACCACCACTCCCACCTCAAACTGCTCGTACTGGTGTAACTGGTTTCCCCTGTCCACACCTCCAGTCCTGTGTGTGAGGAGCCAATCAGGAGGCAGCAGCAGACGGTTTACACAAATCTCACCTGGAGTTTGATGTTTGAGTCACACTGTTTACAGGAAGTGATTTTAAAGGCGGACACGTCTAAACTGTCACCAGAATCCAACATGACGTCCTCAAACATCTTGTTCTCAACAGTCTGAAACAGATTTGAGAAGCTGAAACCTGCCGCTTGATAAACGTCAACAGTTAAATATCTGTCTGTCGACTTTTATTTGAATCGACTCGTCGTTTGAGCTCTTTGCTGCTTTTAAACTTTGTGTTTGGTAAAACCAGTTTGTTTACATGTAAACAAGAAGCTTACATTAGTGTTGAGGTTGTTTTTTTTTTTCCATCCACGTTTTCCAGCTGAGAAACAAAAATCTATGACGTGATTTATTTATTAATATTTATTTGACGTATGATGGCAGCCAGTCGGTGGCCGGAGAAGTCTCCAAACACAAATCACTAATGTTTGTTTATTAATATCACTGACGTGTTGATCACATGTATTTATGAGTTTGTATTTTTTATATTGTTTTTTGCACCACAGAGATTTTTGTTTACTGAAAGCTGTCGTCAGGAAACATCTTCCTCACAAACATGTTGTTTATTGTTATTATTATTGTTTTGAAGTCTGTGATGTGAAAGTTTCTGAGTTTTAAGGGGACGTTCAGCAGCAGAAGCTGTTTGATGAACGAGCCACATGAACGCTGACTGATGATGATTTTCTGTATGAACACACCTTTATATTTCTGCTGTTGATGAACATGACAACATGTGAACACCTTCAGGTTCAAAACATTTTATTTATTGTTTGAAAAATATAATAAACTGTTTATAAATGTTTGTAAATGTGTTTGATGTTTTTAAAGCTTGAACTCGATGAAACAGGAGCAGATAACTCACGTTTACCTAAAGTTAAATATACAGTTATTAACTCTTTATGACCTGGACCAAGCTGCTGTCGGTCCACATGTAAATAATGACACGTTTATTTTACTGACTCTGCATCAACTTTAAGAGCAAGAAACTAAAGAACAAATGTGGAAACAAGATGAAACTACAATCATCACCCTGTGGTTGTATGACTCCGCCCACCAGTCCACCCTGTGGTTGTATGACTCCACCCACCAGTCCACTGTCTCTGACAGTCTGTCGGCGTTTGTGCCAAACATGTTCTCAAGATATTACAGTCACAAAAATGAGAAAGCCAAGGTAAAGTTGCCTTTGACCTATGACCTTCAGAGTCGAATCAGTTCATTATAAAGTCCAATTTGAAAAAGATCCCTCAACGTGTTTTTTTAAAATATTACATTCATGAGAATAAGAAGGACACAAGTTCAGAACGATCTCGACCTTCAACCACCAAGTTCTGATCAGTTTGATCAGTTCATTGTTGGACCTTTGTGCCAAATTTGAAGAAATTACATCCTGGCGCTTTTGAGATATTGCGTTCACAAGAATGAGATAAATTAAGTCACAGTGACCTATGACCACCAAAATGAGTGAGTCCAAGTGACAATTGTGCCAAATTTAAAAAACAACCCCTTAAAGTTTTTTTTTTTTTTAAATATTGCGTTTGTGCCAAATGTAAAGAAACTTTCTCAAGGACTTACTGAGATATCACATTCAGGAGAATATGAAGGATGCAAGGTCACAGTGCCGTTAACCTTTGACCCTCAAAATCTAATCAGTTTGCTGTTAAGTCAAAGTTAACATTTGTGCCAAAGTTTTTTTAAAATATCTCATTCATGAGAATAAGATGGATGAGTTCAAAGTGACCTTTGACCACCAAAATCTAATAAGTTCATCGTTGGGTTCAGGTGAACGTTTGTGCCAAATTTAAAAAACAAATCCCTCGAGGTGTTTTTTTTATTTAATCTCCATAACTGTAACATGTACGACGTTAAACAGACCTAACGTCAGCTGTCGTTCACTCTACAGTGTTTAAATACCAGAAGAAGAAGAAGAAGAAGAAGAAGAAGAGTCCAGCTGAACTGAGGAGAAACAACAGCCTCCCTGTGATTTAAAAACTGAGACCGTTTCCACGTGAATCTGTCTGAATTTTAAAACGTCCACATGAATGTTTACAGGTTGTTTTTGTAAAGTTGTAAACACAAAGAAATGTGACCTTTGACCTGCGTCAGTAACCTGGGTTCATATTAAAGTCCTTGGTCACGGTCCTCACAAGTGTACAAACGTGTGTGTGTGTGTGTGTGTGTGTGTGTCAGGGTTGCTTCTGTTGCATCTCCCTCCAGCTCTTCCACAGCAGCAGATCTCGACTCTTCCCCAGGGCAACCAGGCAACGAGGCAACCTCAGCCCGTTAAACTGACCCACACCGTCGTCACGACCCATCGCCAGCAACATGGTGACGTTACCTGGCAACAAGGGACACAGACAAGCAACCGGCAACACCGTCAGTTGACCAGCAATACCGACAGGCAACCAGTGACACAGACACACAGGCAAGGAAACTGGCAACACAACTAGCAACGCAGATAGGCAATTACAAACACAGATGGGCAACTAAAAACACAGTAGGGCAACATGCAACACAGACAGGCAACTAAAAACACATGCAGACAACTAGCAACACAACCAGCAACATAAAGAGGCAACTTAAACCACAGACAGACAACTAAAAATACAGATAAACAGCTAGCAACACAACCGGCAGCACAGACAAACAATTAAAAACACATGGAGACAGCAAGTCACTCAACTTGCAGCAAAGACGGGCAACTAAACACAGACAGACAACTGACATTACAACCAGCAACACAAATGGGCAACTGAAAACATAACTCGCAACATGAACAGGCAATTAAAAAATGCATGCAGACAAAAAGCAACAAAATCAGCAACAAAGAAGGGCAACTTGCGACACAGAGAGGCAACTAGCAACACAATAGCCAATGTAGATGGGCAACTAAAAAAACAGAGAAACAGACACAGGTGTGTGTGTGTGTGTGTGTACCTGTGCGATATGAGGTCAGCTCCTTCCCGCTCAGACTATTGATAATGTTGCTCACGGCGACGGTGGCGTGCAGCCCGGCGTGGTACGCCATCTTGGGCTCGTTGACATTGGCGCAGTCGCCCACAGCAAAGACATTAGAGAAACCTTCAACCTGCAGGTGATCGTTCACCTTCAAAGCTCCATTATCAGCCAGGCAGCCCGCTGTCAGCACAACACATCAACTGATCAATCAACTGATCAATCAACTGATTACCCGATATTTATTTGAGGCTGTTTATTAACAGATTTATGAATCAATCACAAACAGCTGTTTTTATGTGACGTAGATTATTTATGTCGGACCTGACGGTGGCACTACAGTTAACATCATCATGACATCATCCGCACAGGATCATGAAGATCCTCAGATGACGTCTGACTGATTGAAACTGATGGACAGAAAAAATAAACAAACACTGACCTCTAGTGGACAAAGCACCAAACTGCATGAGTAACAGTACTTGTACTGAGAGTAACAGAGTACTTATACTGAGAGTACCCGAGTACTTGTACTGAGAGTAACCGAGTACTTGTACTGAGAGTAACCGAGTACTTATACTCAGAGTAACCGAGTACTTATACTGAGAGTAACCGAGTACTTAAACTGAGAGTAACCGAGTACTTGTACTGAGAGTAACCGAGTACTTGTACTGAGAGTAACCGAGTACTCATACTGAGAGTAACCGAGTATTTGTACTGAGAGTAACCAAGTACTTGTACTGAAATTAACCAAGTACTTGTACTGAGAGTAACAGAGTACTTGTACTGAGAGTAACCGAGTACTTGTACTCACAGAAGCTCGAGGCGTAGGCGGCAGAGTTGACCCTGAGCCCGGTGCAGCAGATGATCAGATCTGTGGTCAGCGTGTCTCCTCGCTCTGTCCTCACCTCCGTGTTCCTCTGAGTCACGTTTAGTTGCAGCTGCGACAGGTTGGCAACTTTGTCACCTGAAACACAGACTCAGCAGGTTAATGAACCTGACACACACACACACACACACCTATCTCACCTGTCCACAGGTAAACATCAGTCTCCATACCCAGCAGCAGCTCCACCCCTTTCTCCAGCAGAACCTCCTTCGCCTGCCGCCTGACGCTGGGCAGCAACTGTGGGTCGGCCAGCACCGTTCGGGAGTGGATCAGAACCACCTGGACACCAGAGGGCAACTTTAGACAGGTGTACCAACAAACAAGCAACTAATTATTATTATTATTATTTATTCTTTATTATTATTGATCTACCTCAGCGGTTTTATTTATTTATTTTATTTATTTATTACCGTCTCCACATTTAAGACTAGACTTAAGACTTTCCTCTTTGATAAAGCTTATAGTTAGGGCTGGCTCAGGCTTGCCCTGTACCAGCCCCTAGTTAGGCTGACTTAGGCCTAGTCTGCCGGAGGACCCCCTATAATACACCGGGCACCTATTAATTATAATATTATTACTTTCATTAATGTTGTTGTAAGCTACTGTCATTACCGTCTGTCCTGCATCTCTCTCTGTCTCTCTCTCTCTCTGTCTCATTGTGTCATATGGATTACTGTTAATTTATTATGTTGATCTGTCTATAAATAAAATTGATTGATTGATTGATTATTTTTTGCATTTTATTGATTTAGCGCTTTTATATTGTCTTACTTGGGCTTTTAGAAGTGCTTTTTTCCCATATTATTCTTGAGTGCCTTTTGTACAGTATCTGTCAGAACTACTGTCCCTGAACCTTTGTGATGTTGCTATTCTTGTCCTTTTTACTGTCTTCTATGTTGTCTGTGCACCACGACTGTAGCCTGAATGTGGCATTTGGAGTCCAAGACAAATTTCCCCCTGGGGACAATAAAGTTTATATTGACTGATTGATTGATAATAACAAAGAACCACCTGAAACGCAGAGAGGCAACTTGAGACAGGTATTTCTATTTCAACACCATGGACAACAAACAGGCAACCATCAACACACAGAGACAACTAAAGAGATGAACATGCAACTTTCAGTGAGGTGTACCAACAGTAAAAATGTCTTCACCTTCTTGTCCGGATACTCAGTCTTGATCTCAGCAGCCATCTCCACACCGGTCGACCCTCCTCCCACCACCAACACTGAGCCTGCTGCCTGCACCTGAACACACACACACACACACACACACACACAAGGTGATGAGTTGCCTCTCTCTACAGAACTCTCAGTATCTGTCCTGTTATCGTACCTGCTTGACGAAGTCCTCATATGTCTGGACGGCGGTCTGATACGACGCCACGGTGTTAAACTTCCCGGGGAAGGTTCCATCAGTCCCAGTACACAGGATGAGGTGGGAGTACTGGATCTCCTGTAGCAACAAACTGGACTGTAGGTCATGTTTAAAGACCAGAAGCAGAGGGAAACTGTTAGCCTAGCTTAGCACAAACACTGCAGGCAGGGGGAAACTGTTAGCCTAGCTTAGCACAAACACTGCAGGCAGGGGAACTGTTAGCCTAGCTTAGCACAAACACTGCAGGCAGGGGGAAACTGTTAGCCTAGCTTAGCACACTCTGTCCTCACCCTTCCTCCCTCCAGGACGACCGTCTGTCTGTCGGTGTCGACTCGCTGAACTCGTCCCTGAACAAAACTGTCTCCAAAGGTCTCAGCGTATGGGATGAAGGTCCTCCGAGCGAAGCCTGCAGGACGACAGGGGGTCAGAGGTCAGAGGTCACACTCTGCACTCCGACATCATTACACACACACATGCACACACACACTGTGCCCTCTGTGGTTATTAGTCAGGAGCGTATTTGTTGGCTGCTGAGTCATGTGTGATAAAGTTCATCTGTCTGAGTCATTGAACAGTCTGAGCTCACTGTGACAGCGATAAGAATCACAACAATAATAATAATAATCATAATAGAAAAACTTAATATAGATCTATAAACAACTTTTTTAAAAATCCAGAAAAATTACAAAAAATACTATAATAAAAATAAAAACAAATCTTAAAAAGTATCCTTAAAAAAAACCCTGGATCTCTAAAACTTCTAAACAATGAAAAAAAAACAGTAAATACAAATAAAGGAAATATTTTGAGCAAAATTTAAACATATTCTTTTTTCTTAAAAGGACTGCAAAAAAAAAAGAATTCTCATTAAAATAAAAAATCCAGGTTAAAAAAACCCAAATTATAACATTTAAGTAAAAGTAAAACAAAAATAAAAAAAATAATAACACAAAACAAAAATTAAAATATGACTAAATATATTATTGTATTATCATGAAAAAATAAAATAAATCACTGAAATAAAGTAAATAAAAATCAAAGAAATAAATGTAGCCTCTCACCAGGCTGTACGGACGCTCTGAGCGCCGCCACGTTGTGATGAAAAGCGTCTCTCATGTCGATCAGAGTGAAACAAAGTCCTCCAGATTTCAGCTGCTGAGCCACCGCGATGCCTCCGAATCCACCGCCAACGACCACGACATGGACGTCCTCTACTGACGAGGCCTGACCCCCCATCTCTGTGAACACACACACACACACATGCACACTACAAAGGGACCTGTGACTGTACGTCCTCTGATGGGAGGTGAGTCCCCGTCATGTGGGTAGAATCGTACAACAGCATCACAGAGGGAGACACTCCCTGCAAACTAACAGGACTCGAGCTGATCCTGTCAAATTAAATACTGAACTCTTGTCTAGCCTTTACAGGAGTGAAGGTGAAGTGAAGGATTTCTACAGCTTTGGGGTTTTTTAAGACAGAGGTGGAGGAAGTACTCAGATTCTTTACTTATGTAAAAACACTAATACCACACTGTGGAAGTAATCCATTACACAGCACTGACAGATGTCGTCACATTTAGAAAACAAAAAGACTTTTGTGCTGTGAAAAATAAATCGCATCATATTTTACAAACTGTTCATGTTTTTAAAGTTAAATCTTCAGATCCAGTGTCACAAACACACAGTGGAGTCATGTGAAGCACATTTAGGGACTGTTGTTTATTTATCAGAGGAGCAGGGTGGCTGCAGTGTGACCCTTCCTGAAGCCTCCCTGAGTGACCTGAGGAAAATTCATGGTGGACACTGTGTCTGTGGAGACGGAGCAGCAGAGCGCCGAGCGGAGTGAATGTGTGATTAACTTAACCGTTGGTTCATTCATGTAGAAATATAACGCTGCGTTTCTTCCACCAACAGGGCTCTCATTTTAGTGTAGAGCGTCAGACTGAATTTACCAACGCACCATGTCAGGTCACTCACTCTCCGGGACCGCCAGTGTTACTGGAATAAGTAAACACTGACCAACGGGACCAGACTGGCCGACCCGACCTGACAGAAGCGGTCCTTGTCGACGTCCACAGCCGGCATGCACTGTCCACCTCGTGGCTCCACCAGGAGACCGGTCGGGTCCCACTCTACGTCAGAGGCCATGTGACGCTCCGCTGTGTTCGTGTAATGTACCAAAGGTTTATGACGACACATCGAGAGACGCTGTGCTGCTGCCAGAGGAGCCGCTGACTGAGTTCCCTCTGAGTCCCCTTTTTGTGTGTACTGCAGAGTCCATCATCATTTCACTGTCAGCCATGCTCGTTGTTGCCGTGGGTAACAGTATGACGTCAATAAGTCAAAATATTGCGAGTATCACCATATGAATGTTTCACGTTAAAATTACACCAGTATTTTTACGCAGTATTTGGGATCGTCCACTCATTCGGCCCTTTTGGAGTAAATTCTTGGACACGTGAGTAAATGACGTGGTGACACATCACCAGTGTCTCTGTGTTTACTGGGGGACAGATCACAAGTGCGTCATGCGTCACGGGATGAACTCTCAGTCACTGTGTCAGGAGTCATTACAGCTGGTGGAACAACACTCAGGCACTGGGAGACAACAAACCCCCAGAAATAAAAGACTGACCGTGCTCACAGACCGATCTGAGGGGGATTTCTGAATGTTTATATTTTGATCTGAAACCCAAACGTCTTCAGTGGACAACAGGAAGCAACAGTTTTGGACGGGGCTGTAGACCCCTGGGGACATTTTGTTAAAGGTGCAGTTAGTGGTGGGTTTGATTTGGTTGAACTGTGACAGAATCTGAATCTGAGTTACTGTTGTTGTTCACAAACTAAAGAAATGACATCATCATTTTTATTTTGTTTTTACTGTGAAACGTTCACTGACTTTAGTGAAATTTTATCTTCTTAAATTAATAATAATCATTTTATTTATTTATTTACTGATTTGTCACATCAATAATATCTTTATCACAAAAATAGTATTGTGATATTATCTCAGGGTCATATCACCCAGCCCTACTTTTAGCAGAACGTAATGACGTCATCACACAAAGACTACGTGATGACGTGAAAGGCCGAAGTCGTAGATTTCATCTGCAAAATATAAACGTTCTAATTTTTATAGTTTTTTAATTTAAGATCAGTTTAAATCAGGACATGAAGACAACGACCTCCACGTCCGCCTGCGGGAGAAGAAATACAAAATACGACCTCCCTTTAACTCAACATATAAACATTAGACCCCCCCAATAAGTAACGAACGGTCCCTAACTAACGACACTGCTGCGGTACTTGCACTTTAACGCAGTGTGTATCTGCACATCTTCACACACACTGCTGTGTTGTTTATTCTGTGTGCACACACTGAAATGACTTCCTGTCTCATAACACTTGTACACTCGCGGTTTGTTTACAGTTTGTTTACAGGCTGTTTACAGTTTGTTTACAGTTTGTTTACAGGCTGTTTACAGTTTGTTTACAGTTTGTTTACAGGCTGTTTACAGGTTGATTACAGGTTGATTATAGGTTGTTTACAGGCTGTTTACAGTGAGTCTCGTGCCGCAGGACTCTTCCTCACAGTGCAGCATTAAACTGCAGTAAAAGTAGAAATTCCTCCTCCTCAGCTGGACTCAGGAACATGCGGTGTTTCCTCCGCGTGTTGCTTCACACTAACAGAAACAACCAGCTGTTGTTTCTCTGACGGTCACGTGTCTAACAGCTCAAACAGGAAGTGGACTCACCTGCCGCAGGTAGGAACCTTGGATGGACTGAATCTGATCGTCTTTAAATCAGTCTCGAGCCTCCAGCTGGTTCTCTGCTGCGTGTTTCCTGCTGCTCTGCATGAGCCGGAGCTCTCCACCAATCACAGCCCCGCTCTGTCCACCTGAGGGGGAAGGGGGGGCGGGGCGAGCTCCTATGGTGCCTTCAGGTACCGTAGGAAATGTTAAAGTCTTATATAAAGTTAATTTTCTGGTTTAAATAATAAATAAATAAGTGAAAAGAAGAAGAAGAAATTTTAAAAAATCCAAATTTAAGATCAAATAAATTCAAAATAAATAACTTTACAAAGATACAAATGAAAACACATTAAAGAGACAATACGTCTGACTCAATAATAAAAGATGGAAACAAAAGTTCTCACAGGTCATCAGATATTATCAGAACCAAACAAAATGTCTTAAAATCAACTTCCACAAACTTACATTAAACTTTTAATTCAGTTGTCTCCATGTGTTTTAATTATTTACATCACTATATAATTCTTTTAATTTATTTTGGTTATAATCAAATTTTTCTACTTTTTTTCCTACCAGTGTGTCGGATTTAAGGGGATATCATGGCAGAAATAAATATAATATAATGTAATTTAATTGAATTGAATATAAAATAATATGAATAATATAATATAAACCTGAAAATAAGAATGTTGGTGTTGTCATTATCTTAGAACAGGGATACTCAACTTGCTTTGTTCAGGGGCCATTTTTGCAAAATGCCAGGAAGCCGGGGGCCAGTCGTCCGGTCACTGGTCAGGTGTACGCAGAGGTGATCCTGGGACATTTGGGACTGAGCCCGGAGAGGAGCAGTAAACAAGCTCTGTTTTGATGCTTTTTATGCACTCTGACACCTTGTTCACAGAAAAGTACAGAAGAATTTCCAGTGTGGATCAGACAGCGTTTGGGAGGCCACCCAGCACCTTGTCGCGGGGCCACATTTGGCCCACAGGCCGTAAGTTGAGTGTCATCGCCGCCTACGGAGTCGACGTGAGGAGGACAGTGAGATGTGGCTGAAAGCTCTGGAAAAAAGTCAGTAAACGGACTTTGATTCACGTTTCTCCAGACGTGATGAGCTGACAGACACCTGCAGGTTTTGGGGGAATTTCACAAGTAAAATTTTACTAATTAATTTATGAATTAATGACTTTATTTCAAACAAAATAAATATATAAAAAACAAGCAAGACAAGGAGGAGGTAGAGGTGAACTTACCCACTGTCTTACATTTCTTCTTTTAACTCATATTTTATTTCAACAAATTCCCAAATTTATTTATTACAGTCCAAGCACCACCCAGTGTTAAAGAATACAGAATAAATACACACTCCCCAACACAACCTTTCCTCCTCTATATATCTGCCAGAAATATATTTTCTGTATTGTTTTTTTAAATTGATTTATATTTGTGTTTTGTTTCAACTCATCATGCAGCCTGTTCCACATGTCCACGCCGAACACACACACACACACACACACACACTCTTCTTAGTTGTTTTTAAAATCAAATTCTCCTCTTAGATCATAACCCCCCCTCCCTGTCACAAAACATTATCTTTCTTTAACTAATTTCATCATTAGATCATACAGCTGATGTTCTCTGGCACACGTGCTCTTTGTTGTTTTTCCCAAATAAATCTACATTTATATAACAAGTATATCACCTTACAGTAAACAACATGTGTCAAATGAATCATGTTTAAATAATTGATAAAACTAAATTTAGTCATGAAGGCTGAACTTGTCTGCTCAGAGGAAGTGCTGCTTCATCAAACATTAATGATAAACTCTTTTTGCTCCAGAAGAAGTTTTGATGAGTGAATCGTCTCCGCCATCAGTCCTGTGATCACCAGCTGATTATGTCATGTTACGTCACTGTTATAAAACTGAATTAAAGGTCTCTGATTCATGAACGAGTCACGGCTGCTGTGAAGGATTCAGTTACAAACATCTGTTCAACATTCTTCTTTAGTTTAAGTGAGACAAACACACAATCTGATTGGTCTCTCGCTCTTACAACCAACGTTCATCAATGTTAGTCTCCCTGACAGGAAATGAGGCTGTTTGCTGTTTGATTCATCAGTTATGATGCTTTCATGAACTCTTCACAGTCTGTGGAAATGTTTCCCTACACTGGAGTCCGTCGCTGCTGTTACTGCCTGTGATCGTCTCCAAACTTTCTTTGTTTGGTTTAAAACCATTCGTGTCTTGATTTGTTGTCAATGTTTGGAAATCATCCAAATATCAGGAGGTGATGTGAGGACTCTTTAAATGTGATCATGTCAGCTCTAATAATAATAATAGTGATAATAATAATAATGATACAATTCTTGCCCCACTTGCCGGGCATTTTCAGAAACAAATCATACACCTTTTCCACCAGAATTAGTGCACACATACACAGGTTCTTTAAACACAGAAAAACCAGTCCACTGGCTCCGACAACATCAGCGCCTCTGTCCTCAAGAGCTACAGTAAGGAGGTCGCCCCTGTGTGGCAGCCCATCTTCCAGCACTCCCTGGACACACACACAGTGCCCACAGCCTGGAAAACCTCCCATATAATCCCACTCCCTAAGAAAGCATGTGTCAAAGAGTGTAACCACTATCGACCTGTGGCTCTTACCTCAGTACTGATGAAATCTGCTTTCTCAGTCAATTCAGGATAGGTTAGACCCCTACCAGTTTGCTTACAAGCACGAGCGCAGTACTGAAGATGCAGTAGCCACCCTCACGCATCTGGTTTCAAAGCATCTGGATACAACAAAAAGCAGACCCGATGCCAGAGTACTGTTTATTGACTCCTCCTCAGCATTTAACACAATCAAACTGGACTTACTGCTTTCAAAATGCACCAGTTAGAGATAAATCCATGTCTCATTCATTGGTGCAACTCCTTCCTCACTAACAGACAACAGTTGGTCAAAATCAACAACACATTCTCCCCACTCACAACCAGTACTGGCGCTCCCCAAGGCTGTGTCAGCTCACCACTGTTATTCACCATCTACACCAGTGATCGCATCATCAGCACGACCAATCGATATCTGATCAAATTCTCGGATGATACAGCACTGCTGGCATTGATGACGGAGGGGGAGAGACCCCTATTTTGATAGTGTGAACAATGGTGTAGCCAGAATGCCCTCATCTTAAACTGCACCAAAACAGAGGAGGTCATTTTTGGATCCACACAGTTCACACCAGCCCCGGTCATCATTCATAACAAATCCATAAAGCAGTCTTCATCCTTTAGATACTTGGGAGTGTATGTGGACAGCGCTCTCTCCTGGTCACATCATGTGGATCACGTATGCAGCGAGGTACAGCAGAGAATCTATAGATCTGTTGGAGTCAGCAGGGAGATTCTCCACCTCTTCTTCTGCTCCACAATCCACAGCATCCTGCTCTACGGAGGCCCGGTCTGGCTCTGTGGCCTCTCAGTCCAGCTGAAAAGCAGGGTTACAAGACTGCTCAACACCTGCTCAAAGTCTTTCCTCGACAGCTGTGCCACGGGCACCATCAGACTGGCGGAGAAGATCAGCTCTGACCATTCTCATGTCCAATACAAGGAGTGCCAGCTTCTGCCCTCCGGGAGGCGCTTTAGGGTGCCGAGTTGCAAGAGGAACAAATACAAACTTTCTTTTATTCCTCATTCCATCGAACTGCTGAATCAACAGGGCAGGTCAAGGAGGACTTAAACCCCCTGCCCTACAGACACAATGCACACATGCTGCTTTTTCTTTTTTCTCTTTATTACTTTTGAGAGTTTGCATTCTATAACACTTTTTATGTCGTGTTTAAGTCCTTCATGCTTATGTCTTATGTTTTTTATTGTGTCCTGTTTGTGGATGGATGACAGATTGTGAGCTGGAGAAGCAAGACAAATTTCTGTGCAAACAGACAATAAAGAATTATCTTATCTTATCTTATCTTATCTTATCTTATCTTAACATAGATAGGGCACAGACACCATTCCCACTGTCAGCAGAGCAGAGAGTGCACACACCTCTCTGTATGTGAGTCTGTTTCTATCTGTTGTCATGTTGAACTTCACAGACAGGCTGGAAACAGGTCAGTAAACAGTAGAAAGCAGCATGAAGGCCAATAAAGGTGAAAATAAGGTCAGTTACACAAGGTTTAGAAAGCAGCTGGTCAAATATCAGATTTGGCAGCAAAAACCACCCATAAGAGGTGTTTAGATAAATTGAGTGGTTCATGTGTAAGTCAAGTCTTGGGAGGTTAAATGAGGGAGAACATTCTGGGTTAGGGTGACCTGACCGTTGGGACGGATGTGCCAAGTTTCGCAATAGAAACGATTGTTTTTGACAGAAAGACAAAGAAAAATAGAATGTATTGACGCACGAACCTCAGTTCCAGGAATAAGTAGGAAACTAGGAGAACTTTGGATTCCCAGAAAACACGACCCAAGCGTACACACACACACACACACACACACACATTAACGAGCAAACTTGAAGGGCTGTTTCCAACTGATTTGTTGTGTAGACTACTATACTGTTGTATGCTAACGTTCTGCGATTGAAGTAACCCCGTTGGCTGTAACTTTTCTCCGTGGTTCTCCGAGTCTCTTCATTTCAGTGTTTGCTGAAGTTGAGCATTTTCCTGACAGCATCTCGAAGGTAAAGGAGCTAAAGTTAGCGTGTTAGCGTGTAGTGTGTTTCCATCACTGCTAATAAATACCCAGAACTACTGCAGAGTCATTTGACCCGGGTGTGATCGTAACCTTTGCCATTACATCAACACTTCCCGCCACTGATGAGACGTTCCATCAATCCGTATTTTCACTGTCATAAGACAGGGGGCGCTGTTTCACATCTTGCGGAATACAACAGTACTGCTGTGTCCAAAACAAACAAAGAAGATCCAGCAGCTTGTAAACTGCACCAAAATGCTGGCGCTGATTGAAAAGTTTACGGTTGTGCAGGCCGTGGAGATGTTGATGGACTCAGACTCCAACACTTCCTGTTCTGATCAACGCTCTGAAGCTGATTGGACGAAGAAGCAAATGAGTTTGGTGGGACGAAACAGGATCTCCAT